AAAACAAAAATAACAAAGATTTGTAAAGATTTCATTCTTAAAAGAATACTCATGAGGCCAAGTTTAAGCAACAGTAATCTATGGCTTTTAATTATTAATGTTGTTGTGAAATGTTGTTGAGTCGGTTCCAATTCATAATCCTGTATAGGGTTTCCAAGGAGTGGCTGGTGGGTTAGGACCACCAACCTTGTAATTAGCAGTCCAGTACTTATCTTACAACACCACACCAGGACTCCTTAATTATTAATACTAGAGCAAGATTTATGTATTTGGTGGATCAATGTCAGAATATGAGAGGGGAGAAAAGCAATACAAAGTCAGCTCAGGTGGACTACCAGGGTCAACCAGTAATCACATACATGAAAGCTAAAGGATGAAATGAAGGACCTTTGGAAACAGGATTTGCATTCCAAGGATAGTGACATGTATTCTAAGAAAAAGTATATGGACTTATCTCAAGGGTAAACGCTGACTGATAAACCCAAAATATATAGAAAATAGCTAGAAAGGTTAAAAGCTTTAGTGAAGACCAGGCTGTTATTTATATGCTTGTTACATTTAGAAATGCAGTCATGTTACTAGTGCTCAGGATGCTTTATTTGGGGTGTATGAAAGAGAAAACTTCATACTAGTTATATCAGTGAGAATGCACAATTTGCAGTGAAATTTGCAAAACTTAGCAGTAGGAATACCTCCCATCTATCTGAAATAATGAAATATTGCCACCATCACAAAACAGCCAGATTTTTGGTTACTTCTAAACTGATAGGAATTGAGTTTAAATATTAATTATTGTAATTTTCCAAATTCTTAATCTAGCATTTGTATGTGGTCTATGTCAGGATGGATAGAGCCCTGGTGTGCACTGTAGGATAAGCACTGGACTGGTAACCGCAAGATTGGCAGTTCAGTCCCACCAGGCAGAGTCAGAACCAACTTGGTGGCACACAACAATTGCAGAATGGGGGAGTCCTTGGGTGTGGTATAAATGGTTAAACACAACTACTAACTGGAAGGTTGGTGGTTCAAAGCCACCCAGAGGCTTACCTAGAAAGAAAGGCTTGGTGATCTACTTCCCAAAAATCAGCCATTAAAAACTCTGTGTCACACAGTTCTACTCTGACACACATGGGGTCTCCATGAGTCTGAATCAGCTCAACAGCAGCTGATTTTGGTACCCCTGTCCTGTATGTAGGATTCCTGGTATGGTGCTGTGGGCTAATGGGTCAGACTGCAGAGTCGTTTGAACTGCAAGGTCGGTGGTTCAAGCTCACCAGCTGCTCCTTGGAAACCCCCATATAGGGTCGCTATGGGCCGGAATCGACTCGACGGCACTGAACAACAACATCCTGTATGTGGTGCTGTGGGTTAACACGCCAGGCTGCAAAGCCATTCGAACTGTAAGGTTGGTGGTTCAAGCTCACCAGCTGCTCCTTGGAAACTCTATACAGGGTCTCTATGGGTCGGAATCGACTCGACGGCACTTAACAACAATCCTGTATTTAAATCCTAAACAGATTTATCACTGTGAACTTTTCCTGATATATATTATTAATTCATGCTTTTTAATGAAAGTCATTAAAGAAATAAATGTAATTAAAGCATTTCATTGTTTTATGAAAGGAAAATAATTAGCAGAAAAGTCACTTTCAGTCAAATTACTACCTTTCAACCGCCAGTAAGTCAACCCTGGGAAACCCTGAGAATGGACAATTGACTATTGATATTCATGCCATTGAAATAATTACCCTTTCCCATCAACCCAGTACAGTGAAAGGAGCCAAAAGTGTGTTTTGTTTTGTTTTTATGTATTCCAGTGTATTGTCAGTTATTGTTTGCTGGTTTTGTGTGAAGAGTTGATAAATCAAACTGCAGAGTGCTCTAGAATTCTGGATAAGGCACATCAGCTTGTTTCAATCACAGAGCACCTTTATACTAAAGAAAGAGCTAGATGTCAAGAACGGAAAGATCATAATAGAGTATGGGTAAGGGGGATGACAAAATGAAGTAATTTTTTAAAGAAAATCCATTTTAGAAAAATTATGTTATATTTACATCCATGATATGCAACATGAATGAGATCAATGGTGATAGTTTTGGTATCAGAATCAGCCTAAATTTGAGTTGAGAAATACAGTACATTGATTTGAATAGTTCGGATTGAGTATGAGTTGGACTTTTTTGAATGGTCGTGACATGACAGCAGTAAATGTAGATCTGTTTAAAAAGCAACTCTATCATCCATCTTTACATAGCATAAATGATCATGTGTTCATAAAAGCACATTGACTCTTAATTGGTAATACTTTTTAGTCGTGGACTACAAACAAAAAATAAATTTCATTTGGTCTTTCCACTAGTTTAGATAACGTAGTTTATTCTGAATTAGTAAGATTTTATTGACTAAATAAAGATACTCATTATCCTTGTTTCTTTCTCAGTTTTGAAATAGACAATGAATGTGTATTCTCTTTACTTGGTTCTTTCTTTACTTAAAGCTAACTGTTGTTACTCTCACTTTTTCACTATCATAGCAACCTTAAATCTGGCTTAATCTAGCTGTGGATTTTAGAGAGTGCATGCTACCACCACCAGATTCCAAGTCTTATTTCTATTGAATTGGTACACTCTGTACACATACGACTTTAAGCAAATTTATTTGGGTTTAAGATTTTTCTTCCTGCCTTGTATCTAATAAACTATTTTTTTTTTCCATCTCTTTTCCCAAGGTTTCCAAACAGCTGGAAATTCATGAACACTTCACATTTTTATTTGATTTTGAAGATTGTAAATTTAGAATTAAAACTTTTTCCCCATTTAAAAATAGAACACTTGCAGTGAATTTAACACATGCAAAGAAAGACATTTGATTTTGTTGGTAATTCAGTAAGATATCTATTGTGTACATCACAGATACAGGTAATGCTACAACTTTAAAGTGAACACTGTAATAGCCCCAGGTTTTCTAATCTTCTAAAAATAAAATTGCTATCTATCTGAGGACAGTTTTCCCCTCATAGATCAATTCTCATTTTTATAATAATGTTACAGAACAGAATAGAATATGTAAAGATTTGTTCATCGCTGGAGCCTAACATTTTCCTTTTCATAATATATAGATTATTATACATGTAAGATTATGCTTAACTTGTTATAGGTGGCACAAGCATTTTGTGACCAGTTGCTAACCCTAAGTTTGGCAGTTTGAACCCACCTAGCAGTTTCATGAAAGAAAGTCCTGGCAATTTGCCTCCAAAGATTATGTCCAAGAAAACCCTGTGAAGCAGGGATCACCATAAGATGCCACCAACTAGACTGCAATGGGTTTGATGGTGTTTTATTCATAACTTTTTATGTCTCATTCCCATCAAAAAGTTTATTTGTGGTCCTACTAAGTAGAAATCTTTGGGGGAGTTTAGTACTTTATGTTGAATGTATAATCTATTATAAACTCCATTAAGTCTTACTGATTAATTTATTTCAGTTGCATGTAAAGGTTGGCTCTTCATTTCTTCTGAGTTACACTGTATGACTTTCTGGCAGGGGACCTCGATCTCATTTTCCCTATATTCACTGTAGCTGTTAGTGTAGCATCCTGCATCATAGCAGGCAATCTAAGAAATACTTGCTGATTAAGTGAAATTATCTGGAGAGAGGAAAGAAAGCAATAAAAATAATAATGAAGTTACTCTAGTACTACATGTATTCTGATGTGATTAATGTTTTCTCATTCTAATCATGTACTAACTTCTATGGAAATAGCTTTGTGGCCTATAAATCAGCTTACCAGTGAGTTGTTTAAATATCTGTGAATGAATGTTTGTTTACTTTTTTTGACCAAAATGTTTCCTAATACAACTTTTCCTTAGTCGATCTTTTTTTTTTCCTGTAGCATTTTGTTATGTGTGTGGTGAAAGTTTACACAACAAAGTAGGTTTCCATTTGACAGTTTTTTCACAAATTGTTCAAAAACAGTAGTTAATCTTTAATTGCATTCTGGTTGTTCCACTTCCAGTACTCTAGTTTCCCTGCTCCCCCCCCCCATCTTCTGATATTTGCTTTAAAGTAATTGGTGACCTTTTGGTCTCTCTCTTTTTTTTTTTAATGGAGCACTATACTCATGAGTACATTTTGTGTACAAATCTATTATTTTCCTAGAAGGTGACCTCAGGATAGTTTTAGTTGGTCTTTAAAGGGAAAGTGTTAAATGCCTTGTTTTTATTTGAAATTCACTAACTTTTAACATTCTTTGGCATACTTTGGCCATAACATAATTAATTATGTCTTGATATAATCAGTTATGTTATTCCTGAACACTTTTTCTTACCTGTTATTATTGTAGATAGTACTTACTTTAGGCAGTGAACCTATTAGACTTAACCTATTATTTGTGGTTTGTCCTTTACTCTGATTTGTAATCAGGCAAGTATATTCACTTAAATATCACTTGAAAACCAACAATAAGAGTCATTTTTTCTTGCAGATTAGCCCTGTTTTCTTATTAAAGGTATAGCTTAGTAATTATTATGATTATTGCATCAATAAATGAGTTTTTCTTCTTGCATATTTAGCATAATTGAGATACATACAAGTTAAGTCAAAGATACTAACTCTGAATAAAATACTTCAAATATTAGAACTATGTTATGCAGTAAAAACTACATATAGGAACCATTCTGTGTATGTGGTATTCAGGATATCATGGATGATGGTGGTAGTTGTGTGCCACCAAGTCGGTTCCAGCTCATAGAGACACACTGTATACGGTGTCTGAGGCTGTAAATCTTTATGAAAGCAGAAAGCCTCATCTTTCTCTCACAGAGTACCTGGTAAATTCACACTACTGACCGTGTGGTTAGCAGCCCAGCTCATAGTCCACTATGCTTCAGGGCTTCTTATGTCATGGATATAAATATATATAAGCCAATTTTGCTGAAAGATTTAACATTTTTATTTATTTTATAAATATACTTATTTCTGAAATTAATGTCCTTTACCAGTGACAGGGGGTATCACAGAAGAGCAATTTCAGACACATCAACAGCAGTTAGTTCAAATGCAAAGGCAGCAACTTGCTCAGCTTCAGCAGAAACAGCAATCTCAGCATTCCTCGCAACAGACACAGCCAAAAGCACAGGTAAACCTGCCTTTTTAATAGGTTTCTAACTTTGTTTCCTAAGTATATGCTTTCTTCCAATTTTAGTCAAGTCACCTTGCTATTGCTGCTTTTGATTTTGAGGGTATAATGTAAATTTCTTCCCTATTAAATAATTTAAGATAACTAGTTTATGAACTAGTCACTTAATATTTTATGAGAGTCTGTTTAATAAGAAGAGGGAGGATTAGAGCTAAATGTGTTTTCAGTTTAGGAAATAAATATCTACTCTTTTGATCTGAGAGTGTTCACAGTCTTAGATCCACCACACCTCCAAAAAGACATTTTTTTTTAAGGATACAATTTTCCTAATCCCTTTTCTAAACTCTGTGTATAAATGCTGTGTGGGTATGGATATGCCTCATGAGATACAAGGTAATTCTCTTGACTTATGCAGTAAATTTAGACAGCATACTCTTTGCCTCTTTGAATGACATTTCCCTGTAGAAACAGAAAGTTGCCACTAGGAGAGTTTTCCAGCATAGACCATATAGAAGGCACTAGAGTAAAAATTAAAATACTTCATAAAACTGTAATTGGAAAGTATATTTTCATTTGGGAGATCTGAAAACAGTTTTGCATTTCAGGTGTTAAGTTGCTCCATTTTAATATAAATGTTGTCACTTTGATTCTCAGTTTATCATTGGTTAATCAAATTCTAAAGTCATTATTGAGATAAACTCAGTCATGACTGAATTTTGTGAGCTGTCAGGCGAGGATTTGCTTATAGATGTTCAGCTCATCCACAGAGGGTCGATCATAGTCGCAAAAGCCTAAAAATCAGATTAAAATGGTTCTTTTGGAGGACATACACTGACCTTAAAGATCAAGTCCAGCAACATGAAAATCTCAGTGACCATGCCACATAGGTGGATCTGAGACTGACCCATAATCTAGTGCTATTGACTGTTACTAAGAGTTGACTCTTTTATATTAGCATAGTCACTTAACTTACCTGGGTTTGAGTTTTATAAGTCTCTTAGTCATCCTGAAGTATTTTCAGACCACTGCATGGTTAGGCTAAGATACATTTTTACATTATGGCAAAAATGACAATTACAATTAGCCTATAGTATCAAAACTATAAAATGTGTTTTAAAAAGCATTCATTAACAGTCACTGGAAATTTTTATAAAGGACTCAAAGTTTAGATTTTTTTAATCTTCTAGTTCTTTTTTCAGAAATAGTAGCTGCCCAGTTTTTAGTTACTTCTGTGTTTCATATGTCAAAAAAAGCCTGTGGGTTTCCTATGTGTCTTTAACTATTGTAACTATTCAAGATTGAAAGGGAATAATAGTCTCTTGGGTTTGCGAGTGTTTTAACTTTGTTCATTTTATAGGGCTCATGCACGTCTGACTGTATGTCTAAAACACTCGACTCAGCCAGCGCCCACTTTGCTGCATCCGCAGTGGTCAGTGCACCTGTTCCAAGTCGCAGTGAGGTAGCAAAGGAGCAGAACACTGGCCACAACAACATAAACGGTGTTGTCCAGCCTTCAGGTAAGGCTATGGTTTCACATAATGCTACTAGCGGGAAGTTGCAACTGTTGGTGTAGAATATAGTTTTTATTTATTAAGTCCTTTTAAATTTAAATAGATAATGTTTTAAAGAGGCCAATTGGTACTCTTCTAATTTCTTAGGGAAGGTGTGGGGAATGCCTAGGTTTTTTTCTAGAATTCATATAGAACCTATTCCTACCCACTGATAACTTCGTGGGTAACTCCCCATCCTTTCTAGTGTCATTTACATATTGGCCCTTACCACATACCTTAGAAAATTCATTGAACTAATCAGTAACCATGACCACTGAATCATTCTTAAGGTGATACAAAGGTGAAATATAATCCCTGTGGTTTGTTAATAAATTTGCAACAGGATTTATCTTCCCACTCTTACAAATGAATAGACATGCTTATTCTGACTCCTTCAGAATGCAGTGTGACTGTGAAAACCCCTGTGGATTTCTTGCCATCGGGAGTCCATACAGATTATTGCTGTTTGTATCACCTTTCAAGTAGTTCTTAGACACTAGCATTTCCCAGTAGCTTTCACATATACATGATTCTGATTGCCCATCCTTACTGATGTTTGTGTATCTCTGAATTCTTAAGGAGATAAACCTGCCAATTCTACCAACCCTTAGCCTTCATAAAGGAATTCTGATCAGTATGTCCCTACCCTCGTATATTTGCCTCCAAATTTCCCAGAAATGTAAATCCCTTTTGTGCAGACCCATAGAAAGCAGGTACCTTGAGTGTTATAACATATCAGTATATCAGACCTACTGATCAGAAAATCTTTTAAGAGGCCATTGTGTGGACATTAATTTAATAATTTAATTAGAATATAAATGATTGCATTTATTTTCATTATTAAACTTCTGACATTTTAAGAGTTTTATCATTCTTCTATAGCATATAAACTGAATGATGTGACGTTCTCTCTCTTTCAGGGACCTCTAAAACATTGTACTCTACCAGTATGGCTTTATCATCCAGCCCAGGGATTTCAGCTGTACAACTTGTAAGGACAGTTGGCCACACCACTACAAACCACTTAATCCCAGCATTGTGCACAAGCAGTCCACAAACACTTCCCATGAACAATTCCTGCCTGACAAATGCAGTACACCTCAATAACGTCAGTGTTGTTTCTCCAGTCAATGTGCATATCAATACAAGGACTTCAGCACCTTCGCCAACAGCCTTAAAACTTGCCACAGTTGCTGCCAGTATGGACAGAGTGCCAAAGGTTACTCCCAGCAGTGCCATCAGCAGCATAGCAAGGTGTGTGCATGTGGGTGTGTTTCAAGCATCATTATTTCACTTAGTTTTGGCTATTCTGTTGGAGGAAAAAGACATTTTTGTTGTTCACTAATCAAGCAACTGGTGTCCTTTTGACAGGTATTGAGGATATTCTTAGTGTTAAGTTCTGTGACTTTGATTACTTGAGACAGCTTTTTGTTGTTACATGTCATCGCATTAGTTCCAACTCATAGCGACCCCATATAGGGTTTCTGAGGAGTGGCTAGTGAGCTGAACCACCAACCTTGTAGTTCAAACTGACATTGCAGTCCAGCTCATTAACCTGAAGCACTGTACCCCAGGACACCTGAGGTAGCTAGTGGATGTCTTAAGTGTGAATCAGAATTTAAAGTAACAAGAAAAAAATCAGTTTGACAATTGCATCAAAGAATTTTATTTTAGAAGCTTTTACATTGCTGTTGCATCCTGGTTACGAATCGGGATGCGAACCACAAGATCAACAGTTCGAAACTACCAGTTGCTCCGCGGGAGAAAGATGAGGCGTTCTGCTCCTGTAAAGATTTACAGCCCCGGAAACCCTGTTCAGGGTCGCTATGGGTCAGAACCGACTCGACGGCACTTAACAACAACACAGCAACAATTGGTAGTTTAGGTAGTCTGCAAGGTTAGAATTAACATGAAGTTCTGTGTCACCGCTTAGATTCCATTTTTCTTCGGCATAATACACAGAAGCCTTGGTGGTACAATGGGTTAAACATTGGACTACTAACAGAAAAGTCAGTCATTCAAATTCACTAGTGTGCTCTTGTGTAAAGGTTAACAGCCCTGAGAACCTTGTGGTGAACTCTACTGTGCCCTATAGGGTTGCTATGTAGACCACAGCAGTGGGTCTACAGAGTAGTTAAAATATTTTATGAATAGATAAATGTTGAGAATTTTCTGAGACTAATTAAATCTATGGTAGTGTGTAGTAAACTGTGCTCCTAATGATTATTATTTTTAAGTATATTACATTCCATCTATTGTTTAAAAAAAAAAAAGATTATCCTGTTACATATCTTACAAGTAACTAAGTTTATCATTGAATTCTACTAAAATACTATGCTGTACTATGTTAAATTATTATCTTTCTTAAATAAATAGTTATAATCAAGTGATTGGGAATTAGTGGAATTTCTAAACTGAAAAATACTTCCTCATCCCCATCTAGAAATTGTAAAACTGAAATATCCTTGTGAAGTAAGTGTTTAGTTTTAGTTACAAAAAATATCTTTGTAAATACTAGATGGTACCATGTTCTAGAGAGTGTTAATCCTAATTTTACTCTTTGCCTTATTATAGAGAGAACCATGAACCAGAAAGATTGGGTTTAAATGGAATAGCAGAGACAACAGTAGCCATGGAAGTTACATAACTTAAAACTGTGTGGCTTTGACCTGTGCTGATGGTGTGCAGTCATTCCTATTCCAACTGAATGCAAAAGGCGATACTCTGTGGATCACAGAGCGTTACAATGGACCTAAATGGACTACAGTATATCGGATGCTAAATCGATATATAATGTATATTTTGTAAAATTGGGAAAATCACTACCTTGTAAAATAGTTTATTTGTATCATCAATATTATTTCTGTTACTTGAATAGTAGATATTCATCATCATGCTTTTGCACTTGAATTTGCAACTGAATGGATTTTAAAAAATAATTCTTTAATGGGATCATGAGCATGAAATGGGATCCTGCATCACTTGTTTTAACTATTTATTTTGCCATGTTTACATTTTGTATCTTGTAAAAATAAATTCAACTTTGTGTCTAAAAACTTAAAGATTCATAGCTAGGAAATGAAATTCTTGTAATTTTTTTCTAAAGGAACTGTAAAGTTTTCACTTGGTTCATTTTGTTTCACAATTTGATTAGATGGACTTTTTGGTAAATACTTTAGTGACATTTCACTGTCAAATATGAAGTTCAAGGCAAAATAGTATTTTCTATTAATGTGCAGGGGAAAGGGATGGATCGATACATGCAAATTTAATGTAGGAACTCACTTTTCCATATATTTTGAATGTATATTTCTATTTATAATACCAGTTTATAAAAAAAATAATTACACAGAAAAAATGGACTAGGAAAAATTATGCATCTAGCACATTTCAGCTGTGCAGGTAAGAAACTTTTTCAAGTATTCCATTTTATCTGAAGACTGTGTATTTTAACTGGCTTTAAAACTGTAACACACCACATAAAGGATCTTTTACCAGGTATGTATTGCATTATATCATTGCAATAATTATTGGAAGTCTAGATATCGAGCCATCCCAGGTGTTGGGAGGGGGGAGGGTTGTGGCAAGATTGTCTTTTCGATTTGGAGAGTTTTCCTGTGGCTACAAGGCAAGTAACGGGTTGGAAAAAAGTCTGACTGTCAGCGTTGGACACCTTCATAGTGTAGTGTTTTAGTGACTTTTTTTATACAGTTCTTGTAAATTAGATACGTGTAGTGGTGTTTCAGAATGTTTGTTTATGCACTAGTTCAGACAACTTTCCCTGTTACTTGTTCTTGATAAGTGAAAACTGCAGGGAAATAAAAATACATATCAAAACATGGACATGCTGCATATGTGTTTATTTCACAATGTGCACACAGTATAAGGGAAACGTGAGGGAGATGATAGCACTTACCAGCACTTTCATTTTCACAGTGCTTTCCAAGCATTAATGAATAGGATTAGAAAAAGCTCATCTCTGGGCATTATTGGATTTCCGATAATCCAATATAAACTACCTTTGATATTGAAAAATATTTTACAGAATGTAAGTAATTTGCAGTATAACATTCATTGAACTCTCATAAATGAGCCTCATTTTATAAATAAATATTAGAGTAGAATTATATTGCAAGGGGGTTTTGTCAAGTAAGTACTGGGAAATGTAAATATTTTTAATGAATACAATTAAACCATTTCAAACTTACATAATTTTATACTTTACATTTTTTTTATATCTGCAGTCCTGAAAGTTGTAAATTGATATGCCAGTTGAATTAATGGGCCAAGGGTTCTGCTGAGAGTTATTTTATTCAGGTCCTAAATGTATAAAACAATATATGGCCAAAACCATAGGAAAAAAATAATAAATTTAATTTCTTCCTTGTTTGTGACCTGATAGGATCCATGCTCGTTTCTGCCATACTACCTCTGGAGTTACTCATTGCTGATTATATATATAAAGGAATTGATTTTGATTTGACATGTATTATGACTGTGTTCATTCTGCTTATATAGTTGGATGTATCTCCTTGCTATGAAGAATTTTCAAACAACCTTAGTGCCAATTTTGGAGATTTTTTTTTTTTTTTCAATTTTACTGAAGTAAAGCATGAAGTGAATTTGTGTTATGTGATATACATGTTTTAAATAATTTAAGTAAACCAGAACTTATCTTTCTATACCGTTTCTGGAGGTGGTAGCACTCAGAACTTAGAGAGTGGTGGCTAATTTATTTGTTCCTTTTGGTGGTTTTAACTATTTCATGGATGGCATTTCAGTTACTCACATACACACTTTTCAGTGGTTTTCAAAAACTCAGAGGGCAGATCATTGTTTTCACCTTATTAAATTTAATATTTTGCACTGCTCCTACTACCATCTCTTAGTTTTCTGAGGAGACTAGAATTGGTACTTGTAAGACAGTAATCTTCTACAATCCTTGGGAGATGTTTTTGGAGTGACCTTGAGGGGAGGTTGAGTGTAGTAGATTGTGTCTGAGAGAGAGTGAGTGAGTGAGTGAGTTGAACTGATGGATTAATAAGAACTCCTGCCTTCTTAAAACGAATACCCCTTCCTTTCCCACTGATTCCAGATCATCATTATGACCGATTATTGTGGCATAGCTCTCATTTGTTGTTAGTGCCATAGAGTTGGTTCAGACTCATCATGACCCTGTATAGGGTGGCTTTCCTAGGAGTGACTGGTGGGTTTGTGGTGCTGACATTGCTATCCAGTACTTAAACCCTAGCACTCTAGTAGAAGTGGTAGCACTTAATATTCCTTTTGTAAAAGAACAAGGAAAAATAATAACTGCTGGACACATTTTAAAATACACCACAAAATGCAAACATATACATAGACAATATATTATTTTAATAGGGATTACAGTAATTGCAATTATGTTTGCATTTTATTGCCAAGTTTGGTATTTTGGAGAGAAAGGAGATGATTGTAAAGAGGCCTACCATGCCAGAAATGAATTCGTAGTATATACTGCTGTGGTGATAGTGTGCTATGGAATCAGTTCCAACTCATAGCAACCCTGTATAGGGTTTCTAAGGCTGTAAATCTTTAAGGAAACAGAATGCCTTGTCTTTCTCCCATGGAACAGCTGGTAGTTTCAAACTACTGACCTTGACATTAGCAGCCTGACTCATAACCCCTATGCTACCAGAGCTCCTTATATACTGCTATAGTTGAATATATGCTATACCTTTTAACAGTTTTGTTCATCAGTCATACACTTGTAAATGAAGTGGGTTTTCTTTTTCCTTTAATCAACCTTGCAAACTACAGGATTCTAAAAGGTAAAGAAAGATGTCTCAAGTAATTCTGAATATTATATCTTGTAAGACACTTATTTATCCCCAACAAAAAGTAAGCAACATAAAAAAATAGCATCGTGGGTCATTCATGCACATTCTCTCTCTTATTTTTAGTTCTGATAGCAAGTCTGTAAAGTACTATTCTTTTCCTTGTTTGATAGATCAGGAAAATGAAGCTTAGAAAAGTTAAGTTCCTAGTCCTGTGTCACGTAGGTGGTCAGTACTGAGCAGGGAACTTACCGTGCCAGCCACCTACCTGATTTCTGACCACTGCCTTCCATCTTCATCGTGAAAGAAGCAATTAGTCCACTTCATTGGCAGCATCCGTAGCAGCAAGGTTTTTCATTTCATTCAGAAAACAACCACCCCCATTCTTAATACCACTAGGCAATGCATGTTGTTTTTGTTTTGCTTCCTAAACTAAGTCCATTAGAGAATGTTGTAGCTTTCAGCCATCTGCCAAACAAACCCACACCAATTCGTTTATCCTCTTATTTGCCAGAACTAGCAGATAAGTTAAGGCTCTCAGTCATCTCAAGGCAAGGGGAGCTGGGTGTGGGCCAGGACTTGGCTGAGTTTGCCTTTCTCTGGACCTTGGTTTTAGCAAGTACCTGAAACAACATGAGGCATGTCTTGGTGGAGTTCTACACGTGGTTCACATATCTCTTGATCCCAAGAAGGTGAATGAAGGGATCTCCAGCTGAGGTAATCTAGAGTTCTTTTAAGTCAGTATCATCAAGGATGAATCAATTACGGATAATTATATAACATTATAAATTATATAACATATAATGAATTTATACTAAATTATTCTAACCAATTTCAGTGACAAGTTGTAAAGGGGAACTAGAATTGTATGTTTTCCAAAGGAGGGGACTTGAGAGGAATAAGCAAGAAGAAATACAGGGAATTAGAAGGAAACTGGATTTTAATCCCTTCTCTGCCAATAATAGTCCTAGTGGTATAGTGGACAGCATTGGGTTGCTAACCTCAAGGTCAGCGGTTCAAACTCAATAGCCACTCCACAGGAGAAAGATGAAACTCTGCTCCCATAAAGATTTACAGTCTCAGAAATCCTAACAAGCAATTATAATCTGCCCTATAGGGTGACTGAGTTGGAGTTGACTCAGTGGTAGTAGGTGGGTTTCTTGAGATATTTGAATTTGCATCATACAACAAGTAAGTGAAATAAGATACTATTTAACATTTCTGCCCGTTCTGATGCTATATAGCAGGGTTGGGGAACATCCAGCCCATTGGGCTATATAAGGCCGGCAAAATCATTTGATCTGGCCCTGCCAAGCAACCACAGTTCCAGCCATCACACTGGTGGTGGTTGTGTGCCGTGGAGTCGATTCTGACTCATAGTTACCCTGAATAGGATTTCTTAGGTTGTAAGTCTTACCGGAGCAGAAAGCCTCATCTTTCACCTGTGGAACAGCTGGTAGTTCAAACTACTGACCTTGAGGTTAGCAGCCTAACTGGTAACCACTACACTAATTAAATGTTTGACCAAATATGGCAGGTTAATTTTTAAGTCGATAATTTTGTCTGTCCCATGAACAATGTTATAAATTCTGGCAGAAAAAAGGTTTCCCACCCCTGGTACATAGGAAGCTAGTCCTCCCACACCTCCATACCTCTTAGGTGGATCTTTGCTTTCCAGAAAACCACCTTCCCTGCTCTTATCCACGTCCTTTGACTTGCCAGCACCATGGAAAATAGTCAGTATAACAAATCAGACCATATATACCTCTCTACCATTTATATTAGACTTAGAGGACAGTTATTTAAACGTGGGTTTAAAATGTTTGTGATTTACTGCAAAACTAGAAAGTTTAACATAGGTAAGAAGCTAATACTAGGCCGCATACTTACTCAGCAATGATTTATTTGGTATTGGATTTCAGACGTGGGCTACCTCAAAATGGGTTTGTTATGTCATATCAAAACTAGAAATCCTGTGTGTGCTCAAAGATGGCTTTGTTAATTCTCATGAATGCTCCTTTTTAATATTACTGCATAAAGAGAACTCTAAATTATGCTGGAGTAATATTTCAGGGCAAGAAGATGATTAAGTATCTCAGTACTGGCCCTCCCTTTGTGAACTTAGTTCCTCTCAGGATAGCTTAGGACTCCGCAGTTAACCTTTTCATGCTAGAACTAAAGAGCCTAACTCTAGTCTCTAAAGAAAATCCACCTTCACTATGCAAATTTGATTTAAAGCATTCCAAAGCAATGCCATTTTCTACTAACCAATGTTGAAAACCTTTAACCATATTAGAAGAAACACTTTGTTCTTCCTCTGCTTGGTCTCAGGGCCTCTGGGGGTCACTAGCATATGCAGCTCCTATTTTAATACTTATCTCTTGTGCCCTTTTCTCACTGACTAAGGTAGAGTTTGGTCATCCACCAAGTGAGCCCGGATTGTTATCATTAGTTGCTGTCAAGCCGTTCCAGTTCATAGTGATCCTATGTACTACAGAAGGAAACTGCTCAGTCCTGCACCATCCTCATAATTATTATGTCTGAGCCCATTTTTGCTTCCATTGTGTGAATCCATGTCGTTGGGAGTCTTCCGCTACTTCTCTGACCCTCCACTTTACCAACCATGATGTCCTCCTCCAGGGACTGATCATTCTTTACAACATGTCCAAAAATGCGAGAGATTCATGAAGTCTTGCCATCCTTGCTTCTAAAGAGCATTCTGGTTATACTTATTCTGAGATAGGTTTGTTTGCTCTTCTAGCAGTCCATGATGCCTTCAGTATTCTTCAGCATCATAATTTAGATGCAGCCATTCTTCTATAGTCTTACCCATTGTCCAACTGGCATACTTTAGTCCTCAAACTGATAATTGCTCTTCAACTTTAAAAAGGTTTTTTGCAGCAGATTTATCTATTTAATTTTTAACTGCTGTCTCCATGAGCATTAATTGTGGGTCCAAGCAAAATGAAATCTGATAACTTCAACTTTTTCCGTTTATCATGATATTATTTACTGGTCCAGTT